ACTATTATAGGAATTAAATAGGTATTTAGAAATAAATTAGATGAAGATGGTAACATTACTAGAAACAAAGTTAGATTGTTGGCTCACGGGTATAATCAAAAAGAAGGTATTGATTATGATGAAACTTTTGCCCTTGTAGCTAGATTAGAATTTATTATGATGATGCTTGTATATGCTTGTTTTAAAGATTTTAAATTGTATCAAATGGATATAAAAATTGCATTTTTAAATGGATACATAATGGAAGAAGTGTATGCAGAGCAATCTCCCCTATTTGAAGATAATCAAAATCCTAATCATGTCTATAAACTAACTAAAGCATTATCAACCACCTCGATATTGGTATGAAAGATTAAGCAAATTTCTCTTTGAAATGGATTTTCAAGGGGTAAAGTTGACACTACATTTTTTATTAAGCTTATACATGATGATATTATTGTTGTGCAAATATATGTAGATGACATTATATTTGGTGCTACAGGTGATAATCTATGTGTATACTTTGCAAAATGTATGAATAATGAATTTGAGATGAGTCTAATGGGTGAACTAAACTTCGTTCTTGGTTTACAAATAAAGTAAGAAAAATAAGGAATTTTTATAAACCAATCCAAATATACTAAGGAATTCTAAAGAAATTTAGTTTAGAAAATTCAAAACTATATGGGACTCCAATGAGTTCTTCATTAAATCTTGATAAAGATGAAAGTGGTAAAAATGTTGGTGTTAAGCTTTATAGAGGTATGATTGGTAGTTTACTTTATTGGACACCTTGTAGACCCAATATAATGTTTAGTGTGTGATTATGTGTTAGATTTCAAGCTAATCTTATGGAATCAAACCTAAATGCCGTTAAGAGAATCTTTGGATATCTAGGAGGAACCACAAACATAGGTTTATGGTATCCTAAGAGCTCATAGTTTGATCTTATTAGTTACTGTGATACAGACTTTGTTGGATGCAAAGTAGATAGAAAAAGCACAAGTAGAACTTGTAAATTTTTAGGACACTCACTTTTTCTTGGTTTAGCATGAAATAAAATTCAGTTGTCTTACCAATGGCTGAGGCATAATATATAGCGGTTGGATGTAGTTTTGTACATGTTTTATGGATGAAGCAAACCTTCAAAGATTTTAATTTAAAATTTACAATTATCTCAATTAGGTATGACAACACTAGTGCCATAAATCTTACCAAAAATCCAATACAACACTCAAGAGTGGAGCATATTTAAATAAGACATCATTTCATTAGAGGCCATGTTCAAAATGGGGATGTAATACTTGAGTTTGTTAGAATCGAGAACCAATTGATGGATATATTTATAAAATCTTTGGGTGAAGATCAATTTTGTGACATTAGAAAGGAGCTAGGTATCCATATCCATGGTAGAGAAATGTTAGGTGAAAATAAGGTACTTAGAAAAAAGGTACAAGGAACATCAAGTTATTTGATTTATTTTATAGCTAATTTGATTAATTTAAAGTAATAATGAACAAAACAAGTTAAACAAACATTAGAGAAAGGGTCACAGTTGAGAATGAGATATTTGATAAAGATCGAAAGGTCAATATTAAAATATGAAAAATCTAAAGATAAGACAAAAATTAATCCTTGTGAGAGTCTAAATTGTTAGGAAACTCATTTAGATTTGAAAGAATTCTAGAACACAAGGTTTTGACACTTTTTTAGTATTTTAGTCATAATGTTTTTACCTTGATGTTCGATTGAACTAATTTTTGATGCATTGAAAAAAAAACTTCAAAAATAATAAAAGTATATTTTATGCAAATTTCGTGAACTAGCCTCTAACTATGCGAAAATTGAGCTCAAAGTTTGATAGATACGGTACTGGCATGGGGACGCACTCCCAAGATTTGATGCACAAGTTTTTGACCTAAATGTAGTCCTTTTGTGGCAAGAACTTGTTCCAAGACCGACCCTAACCTCCCTAGTATAAATATAGGCTCTCATCTTTTATATTTTTTTCATGTTTCTCAAAACCAATCCAATCAAATTATTCAAAGCATTTTTTATTTTATTTTTCTTATGTTCCATGTTTTTACTAATTTTTCGTGGTTCGACCTTGGACTCCTAAGCATTTATTAATTCACATAACTTGTATTTGAGTGATCAATTATAAAGTTGTAGCAACTGCAAACTATGATCAACCTTAAGGTGTTTATATCCAATGGACACCAAAGTGACAAGAGTTTTATGATAAACATTGTGTGCTTGAAATATATTGTTATTGACACAGAATATTTGTACCAAATTTATGTTCGGCTAATATATACCGTACATAAAACTTAATCTATCATGACGAGATCATAGTATAACTTGAACATGAAAATGATCATATGCAACATTGATTGTATCATTTTCTTATAAATCAAATATGCAACAAAAATGAGCATTTAAATCCTGACAGTGCCATTAATTATTTCTAACAATGAACTTTTTGACTTTACTAATTCAAGTGACTGTGACTTCGAAAAATGTTTTCTTGCTAGTTCAAGTGTCGGTGGTAAATCGCTATATTGTTATAAGCATTGTTTACATTAATAAAAAAACGTGTCTTGTATGTAGTGTTATGTAAGAAATTTCAGTTATTATATATAAATAACGTTTTTTCAAAGAAATTTAAAAGTTTAACGTTGAATGGTTAAGGTGGTCAGAAATGCCCATTTGCGAACCATGCCCAAAAAACAACAAAGAAACCACTAGCATTGTTATCTATATAATAAAATAGTTTATATTTTGAATTTTATTATAATCATATTTTTTCTCTTAAAATCATCACTAATCACTTACATCACCCATTATCTTTCTGTCAGACTCAAACGTCAAGTCACATAACTCATTTCTATCACATGTTTAATCATTTATATATTTTCTCCCTAACAACATCTCATTACTCATTTTTATCATTTGTTTAATTATTTAATATTTGATTAATTTGTAGTTAATATAATTTTTATTTTAAACATTATTCATATACAATAGTATGCACATGTTGAAAAAATTTAATATAATGAAATCAATTTTTTGGGCATTTGAATTTTATATTTTATCGTGCCTTCAGACACGATTTATGACTAATAATATAATATGATATATAATTGTACGAATAAAGAGTGTGCCAAAAGTATTACCGGATGTGTTTCGTTGGATATCCCACATTTCAATAAATATTTTTGTCAAATTTTTGGAACAAATGACTTTCTTGGATGTCTACTTGTGGTTTTGGAACATGAGAACTAAACTATTTTACTTCACAAAAAAACTCAAAACATCTCAGTTTTTCCAGGTTTCAAAATGTCTAATTATCCCGCAAAATCATTTGGGCACACGGTTTTGGGTGGCGTCGTGCGGTGGGTGTAAGACTGTCAATCAAACTGAATTATTCGAGTTTAACTTGAGTTTGGTTCGAATTCGACTCGTTCAAGTTCAGTTCATTTTTTAAACGAGTTCAAATTTGAACAAGTTTTTATACTCGTTTAAAAAATAAGTCCTACAAGATCGACTCAAATTCGATAGACTCGACTCGTTTATATGCAAATACTCGAATTTTACTAATGTTTAGCTCGTTCAAACTTGAATAATTTTTTAAACTCGATTCCAACTCTCTTTAAACTCATTTAACTAACAACCTTAAGAGGGGGAGGGGGTGCCATCAAATTATGTAAACGTCATTCTTAATGATATCTTTACAAATATCAATTCTTCTGTGAAAACACTGAAAAGCTCTCGCTACGTGCTATTTATTACTAGTGTAACTTTTCACCTGGACCTCATGCATATTATATCACCGTGTAACAATGGAGCTCAAAATCACCACCCATTTGGGAAACCTTTTGCAGTTTTGCATAGACAACAAAGCCCACATAGCAGGCAAACTCCTCCACGCTCACATCCTCCGAATCGGCTACTTTACCAACACCTTTCTGTCAAACCGTCTCATTGAACTCTACTCCAAGTGTGGCCATATAGATATGGCCCATCAGTTGTTTGATAAAATGCCTGAAAGAAACATATATTCCTGGCATGCAATCTTAGATTCCTACTGTAAAGCTAACAAATTGGACAATGCGCATGAACTATTCGTTCAAATGCCTGAGAGAAATACTGTGTCGTGGAACACGATGATTAGTGCATTAGTTCGAAATGGGTGTGAAGAAAAAGCATTGGACGTGTATCATAGGATGAATTTGGGTGGTTTTGTTCCCACCCATTTTACATTGGCCAGCGTTTTGAGTGCTTGTGGTGGTTTGGGAGATATAGTGTGTGGTAAGCAGTGTCACTGTGTTGCTGCTAAGATCTGTCTTGACAAGAATTTGTATGTGGGAAATGCTTTGTTGAGCATGTATTCAAAGTGTGGTTGTGTTAAGGATGCGGTTGTGGCTTTTGGGGATTTGGCTGAACCTAATGAGGTTTCTTTTACGGCAATTATGGGCGGGTTAGCAGAGAGTGACCGAGTCGAGGAGGCTTTTAGCATGTTCACGTTGATGCATAGAAGTGGCATCTATATTGATTCTGTTTCGTTATCGAGTGTTTTGGGTGTGTGCACTAGAGGTGGGAATGGAGAATTTTGTGTTAATAGCCAGATGGATGAGTTTTTATGTAATGTGCATGGCCAACAAATACAAGGTCTCACTGTTAAACTTGGGTTTGAAAGTGATCTTCACTTGACTAATTCATTGCTTGACATGTATGCAAAATATGGAGATATGGACAGTGCTGAATTAATTTTTTCTAATTTGCCAGAAGTTAGTGTTGTTTCTTGGAATGTAATGATAGGTGGGTATGGCCAGAAATGTCAAACTGACAAAGCTATAGAGTACCTGCAAAGGATGCAGCTGCATGGTTTTGAACCAGATGAGGTCACTTACATCAATATGCTTGCAGCATGTGTCAAGTCTGGGGATCTTGAAACTGCTTGTCAAATATTTTATAGGATGGAGTGCCCGAACTTAAGTTCATGGAATGCTATTTTCTCCGGGTATACCCAGAATGGAAATCATGAGGAGGCAATTAAGCTTTTCAGTGAAATGCAGTTTCAAAATGTTCAACCTGATCGAACTACTTTGGCTGTTATCCTCAGCTCATGTGCTGCAATGGGACTTCTGGAGGGAGGAAAACAGGTCCATGCTGCCTCAATAAAGACTCTGTTTCATAATGATGTATACGTTGCTAGTGGACTTATTGGCCTGTACTCAAAGTGCAACAAGATAGAGGTGGCCATATGTATTTTTGATAGAGTGCCGGCATTGGATATTGCCTGTTGGAATTCCTTGATGGCAGGTTTGTCGCTAAATTCTTTGGACAAGGATGCTTTCACTTTCTTTAAGCAAATGCATGGAAAGGGGATGATCCCTACTCAATTCTCTTATGCTACTGTACTGAGTTGTTGTGCAAAACTTTCATCTTTGGCTCAAGGTAGGCAGGTTCATGCTCAGATAGTAAAAGGTGGTTATGTAAATGATGTCTTCGTGGGGAGTGCTCTGATTGATGTGTATTCTAAATGTGCTTATATAAATGGTGCCGTGCAGTTTTTTTATGAAATGCCTTGTAGGAATACTATTACCTGGAATGAGATGATACATGGATATGCACAGAATGGATGTGGTAATGAAGCTGTTTGTCTTTACGAGCACATGATTCAATCAGGTGAGAAACCTGATGAGATAACCTTTATTGCTGTTTTAACTGCTTGTAGCCATTCGGGTTTGGTTGATGCTGGGATTAGAATATTCAACTCAATGCAGGAAGAGTATGGAGTGGAGCCGCTTTTGGACCATTACACTTGCATTATAGACTCTTTGGGTCGTGCTGGTCGGTTCCATGAACTGGAAGCACTTTTAGAAAAGATGCCATGTAAAAATGATTCAATTGTATGGGAGGTTGTGCTTAGTTCATGTAGGGTTCGTGATAACGTAAGCTTGGCAAGAAGAGCAGCAGATGAACTTGTCCGCTTGGACCAACAAAACTCTGCCCCTTATGTTCTTCTAGCCAATATGTATTCTTCTTCAGGAAGATGGGATGATGCAAAGGAGGTTAGAGAAATGATGATTGAAAAGAAAATCTTCAAAGATCCAGGTTATAGCTGGCTTGAACAAGAGAATAAAATGCAAACATTTTTGGTCGAATAATATTAGTTTCATCTGAGGAATTTGAAACAGAAAAAGATGGAACATCTTGCTTTAGTGGATGATATACAGTCTAGGCTATTTTTATAGATGTCAATGGTGTTTTTAAAGGAGAGTTCTCTTGTTCGTAATATGGCCACCTATATGGCAAGAATTCAGGCTTCTACAAAGACTTTTCATCTTTCCAGATTTTGACGGAACAGTATGAACCATTTGTTTCAAACTACCTAACACAAGCAATGGGCAAGAGATGGATCCCGGCTATGAAAACTACACTTAAGGTTACAATTTAGAAGTCCTTTTCTGATCGGACCTATTTCAGGCCCACCTGTGAAGAATGTTACAGAAACATCAGCTTTGAGAGAGCCACATGTTTTCAGCCAACAAGAAAAAGTGGTGATAGAGCTGATTTGGTAAGGGAATGGATGGGCCTGATTTTGGCGATGAATGCCTATCAGTTAATTTTATTTTCTTGAGAGGTGGAGCTGAGGGTAGGCCTCGACGCAAAGAGATGTGGGTGTCAAGGGTTTGAGTTGCAGAAGCGGTCATTTCTTTGGTAAGGCCACATACATCTGACGCTCCCTAGATCTTGCAATAGCGACAGCCTCGTGAACTGGACCACTCTTTGTTTAGAGGTGGAGTTTGTTTCAGAGGGATAGCCACAGCATTTGGAAAACCCATTGATAAAATTCCAGATTGTCATAAATGGTATGCTATAGCATGCACCAGAATTGCATCAGAAGTGTGAGGGAATGCCATCGGAGAATTTTTTTCGATTTTCGATCTCTCCTTTAAGAGTTGTGGCATCTGTCTCCAATGTTGTTCCTGTTGCCATGCTTCCATCTGATGACCCTGTTCCATTAAGGTTTTTCTCTTAATTAAAGCAATGAGTTTCGAGGCATAAACACCTGCAATGTCCGAGTGAAGCATCTACTTAGACATTAACAAGATTGTCTGACTGAAGCAATGAGTTTCATCTCTCCTTTGGTCCATTTGGAAGTTGAAGCATGTACTACTTGGAAGAAGTTTATGGATCATACACTCCAATTGCTTGCAAGTGTGGAAGAATCTGCTCCTAAAATTGTTCAGTATCTTTGTTGTCGAGTGTGATACCCAGAAATTCATCCAACTTCTGTGACATTCTTGATGAACAAAAGTATAAATTTTATATATGGTAGTTCATGGTTGTTCAATGTCTGAAGTTGACTTTCCCTTGCTTTTGTGATCACATAATTTCTGGAGATTCCTTTTGAACCGGATAGTTTTCTGATTTGTTCATCTTGCTCGTTTTACGTGTGAAACTGATTCTTCATTCTGAAAATGACGTCTGCTGCGTTCCCATAATAAATAAGTTTTATTTTGCGTCCCCATGGAGATCTTTATGGGGGATGTTTCTACATGATGCAGCACTGCTCTTACTATACAGTTCTACTACTCTCAATGTCACCCTTTTATTTATTACAGAGTGGAAGTCCGGATGATCAGGGTGGGTATTGCTATGGTGTGTTGTGTTTTGCTGTTTTAGTCGTAGTACCATACGGTCCACACCTCCATGCAGCTATAATTTGCTTTCTTGTGCCAGCTGTAAGGTGTATATTTCAGTGTATTTTGCTAAGTTAGTGACACTGAAGGTTGGTTATGAAGGTTTATAAACATTTGGTAAGACTACGGTACACGACAAGATAAGAGTAAGGTTACTATAAATCAAGGATGAGATAACGATGAATTTGATGAGTTTGTGATAAAATGACATTGTTTGGGATCGATCTTATAAAATCAATTTGACACAATTTTTTTGAGTTGTAAGTTCACTTTTTTTAGTTGTAACCTAACCCCAAATAAGGTGTAAGTTGTAACTCTTTAATATACTTTATGAATTTCATTATGGTATCAAAGTTGATATCATCTATATAATAAAAGTAGTTAAATTGTTTGTCTTGAGCTTTTGGTGGCTCAGATCATTTTGATCTGATGTTCCTAATTGAACTTTCACTTTTATTACAAATCTAAGAGTCTCGTCTCTCATATAACTCTCTCTCTCACACTATTATCTCTTTTTTTGTTTGTCCTGTGTTTTTTGGTTATTATTTACTCTATAAAGATAATATTACGTGTTATACAATTATTTATTTCATGAAACTAATTCAAAGCCTTTATATATATGACGACATATATTTTTTCATTTACTTCTTAATTTGTAAATAATACTTGACATAATAAAAAATATCACATTAACTATAAACACCAAATAGTATTCAACACGAAATGAACTTTAAATTGCAAATTAATAAATAGTTTTATCAAAAATTGACATTTAATATTGTCCAATTTATATTCAACTTTGTTTAATTAATATCAAATTAATTTTTATTGTTANGAATCTATGAATGTCGTATTTGATGAATCATACCCACTTATTGACAAAGAACATAAATGAAGCCTTACATGATGACTAATGGATCGTGGCTATGCAAGAAGAATTCATTTTGAAAGGAATAAAGTATGGGAATTAGTTTCTAGACCTAAGAAGACAACTATTATAGGAACTAAATAGGTATTTAGAAATAAATTAGATGAAGATGGTAACATTACTAGAAACAAAGTTAGATTGTTGGCTCACGGGTATAATCAAAAAGAAGGTATTGATTATGATGAAACTTTTGCCCTTGCAGCTAGATTATAATTTATTATGATGATGCTTGTATATGCTTGTTTTAAAGATTTTAAATTGTATCAAATGGATATAAATATTGCATTTTTAAATGGATACATAATGGAAGAAGTGTATGTAGAGCAACCTCCCGTATTTGAAGATAATCAAAATCCTAATCATGTCTATAAACTAACTAAAGCATTATCAACCACCTAGATATTGGTATGAAAGATTAAGCAAATTTCTCTTTGATATGGATTTTCAATGGGTAAAGTTGACACTACATTTTTTATTAAGCTTATACATGATGATATTATTGTTGTGCAAATATATGTAGATGACATTATATTTGGTGCTACAGGTGATAATCTATGTGTATACTTTGCAAAATGTATGAATAATGAATTTGAGATGAGTCTAATGGGTGAACTAAACTTCGTTCTTGGTTTACAAATAAAGTAAGAAAAATAAGGAATTTTTATACACCAATCCAAATATACTAAGGACTTCTAAAGAAATTTAGTTTAGAAAATTCAAAACTATATGGGACTCCAATGAGTTCTTCATTAAATCTTGATAAAGATGAAAGTGGTAAAAATGTTGGTGTTAAGCTTTATAGAGGTATGATTGGTAGTTTACTTTATTGGACACCTTGTAGACCCAATATAATGTTTAGTGTGTGATTATGTGTTAGATTTCAAGCTAATCTTATGGAATCAAACCTAAATGCCGTTAAGAGAATCTTTGGATATCTAGGAGGAACCACAAGCATAGGTTTATGGTATCCTAAGAGCTCATAGTTTGATCTTATTAGTTACTGTGATACAGACTTTGTTGGATGCAAAGTAGATAGAAAAAGCACAAGTAGAACTTGTAAATTTTTAGGACACTCACTTTTTCTTGGTTTAGCATGAAATAAAATTCAGTTGTCTTACCAATGGCTGAGGCATAATATATAGCGGTTGGATGTAGTTTTGTACATCTTTTATGGATGAAGCAAACCTTCAAAGATTTTAATTTAAAATTTACAATTATCTCAATTAGGTATGACAACACTAGTGCCATAAATCTTACCAAAAATCCAATACAACACTCAAGAGTGGAGCATATTTAAATAAGACATCATTTCATTAGAGGCCATGTTCAAAATGGGGATGTAATACTTGAGTTTGTTAGAATCGAGAACCAATTGATGGATATATTTATAAAATCTTTGGGTGAAGATCAATTTTGTGACATTAGAAAGGAGCTAGGTATCCATATCCATGGTAGAGAAATGTTAGGTGAAAATAAGGTACTTAGAAAAAAGGTACAAGGAACATCAAGTTATTTGATTTATTTTATAGCTAATTTGATTAATTTAAAGTAATAATGAACAAAACAAGTTAAACAAACATTAGAGAAAGGGTCACAGTTGAGAATGAGATATTTGATAAAGATCGAAAGGTCAATATTAAAATATGAAAAATCTAAAGATAAGACAAAAATTAATCCTTGTGAGAGTCTAAATTGTTAGGAAACTCATTTAGATTTGAAAGAATTCTAGAACACAAGGTTTTGACACTTTTTTAGTATTTTAGTCATAATGTTTTTACCTTGATGTTCGATTGAACTAATTTTTGATGCATTGAAAAAAAAAACTTCAAAAATAATAAAAGTATATTTTATGCAAATTTCGTGAACTAGCCTCTAACTGTGCGAAAATTGAGCTCAAAGTTTGATAGATACGGTACTGGCATGGGGACGCACTCCCAAGATTTGATGCACAAGTTTTTGACCTAAATGTAGTCCTTTTGTGGCAAGAACTTGTTCCAAGACCGACCCTAACCTCCCTAGTATAAATATAGGCTCTCATCTTTTATATTTTTTTCATGTTTCTCAAAACCAATCCAATCAAATTATTCAAAGCATTTTTTATTTTATTTTTCTTATGTTCCATGTTTTTACTAATTTTTCGTGGTTCGACCTTGGACTCCTAAGCATTTATTAATTCACATAACTTGTATTTGAGTGATCAATTATAAAGTTGTAGCAACTGCAAACTATGATCAACCTTAAGGTGTTTATATCCAATGGACACCAAAGTGACAAGAGTTTTATGATAAACATTGTGTGCTTGAAATATATTGTTATTGACACAGAATATTTGTACCAAATTTATGTTCGGCTAATATATACCGTACATAAAACTTAATCTATCATGACGAGATCATAGTATAACTTGAACATGAAAATGATCAGATGCAACATTGATTGTATCATTTTCTTATAAATCAAATATGCAACAAAAATGAGCATTTAAATCTTGACAGTGCCATTAATTATTTCTAACAATGAACTTTTTGACTTTACTAATTCAAGTGACTGTGACTTCGAAAAATGTTTTCTTGCTAGTTCAAGTGTCGGTGGTAAATCGCTATATTGTTATAAGCATTGTTTACATTAATAAAAAAACGTGTCTTGTATGTAGTGTTATGTAAGAAATTTCAGTTATTATATATAAATATCGTTTTTTCAAAGAAATTTAAAAGTTTAACGTTGAATGGTTAAGGTGGTCAGAAATGCCCATTTGCGAACCATGCCCAAAAAACGACAAAGAAACCACTAGCATTGTTATCTATATAATAAAATAGTTCATATTTTGAATTTTATTCTAATCATATTTTTTCTCTTAAAATCATCACTAATCACTTACATCACCCATTATCTTTCTGTCAGACTTAAACGTCAAGTCACATAACTCATTTCTATCACATGTTTAATCATTTATATATTTTCTCCCTAACAACATCTCATTACTCATTTTTATCATTTGTTTAATTATATAATATTTGATTAATTTATAGTTAATATAATTTTTATTTTAAACATTATTCATATACAATAGTATGCACATGTTGAAAAAATTTAATATAATGAAATCAATTTTTTGGGCATTTGAATTTTATATTTTATCGTGCCTTCAGACACGATTTATGACTAATAATATAATATGATATATAATTGTACGAATAAAGAGTGTGCCAAAAGTATTACCGGATGTGTTTCGTTGGATATCCCACATTTCAATAAATATTTTTGTCAAATTTTTGGAACAAATGACTTTCTTGGATGTCTACTTGTGGTTTTGGAACATGAGAACTAAACTATTTTACTTCACAAAAAAACTCAAAACATCTCAGTTTTTCCAGGTTTCAAAATGTCTAATTATCCCGCAAAATCATTTGGGCACATGGTTTTGGGTGGCGTCGTGCGGTGGGTGTAAGACTGTCAATCAAACTGAATTATTCGAGTTTAACTTGAGTTTGGTTCGAATTCGACTCGTTCAAGTTCAGTTCATTTTTTAAACGAGTTCAAATTTAAACAAATTTTTATATTCGTTTAAAAAATAAATTCTACAAAATCGACTCAAACTCGATAGACTCAACTCGTTTATATGCAAATACTCGAATTTTACTAATGTTTAACTCGTTCAAACTTGAATAATTTTTTAAACTCGATTCCAACTCTCTTTAAACTCATTTAACTAACAACCTTAAGAGGGGGAGGGGGTGCCATCAAATTATGTAAACGTCATTCTTAATGATATCTTTACAAATATCAATTCTTCTGTGAAAACACTGAAAAGCTCTCGCTACGTGCTATTTATTACTAGTGTAACTTTTCACCTGGACCTCATGCATATTATATCACCGTGTAACAATGGAGCTCAAAATCACCACCCATTTGGGAAACCTTTTGCAGTTTTGCATAGACAACAAAGCCCACATAGCAGGCAAACTCCTCCACGCTCACATCCTCCGAATCGGCTACTTTACCAACACCTTTCTGTCAAACCGTCTCATTGAACTCTACTCCAAGTGTGGCCATATAGATATGGCCCGTCAGTTGTTTGATAAAATGCCTGAAAGAAACATATATTCCTGGCATGCAATCTTAGATTCCTACTGTAAAGCTAACAAATTGGACAATGCGCATGAACTATTCGTTCAAATGCCTGAGAGAAATACTGTGTCGTGGAACACGATGATTAGTGCATTAGTTCGAAATGGGTGTGAAGAAAAAGCATTGGACGTGTATCATAGGATGAATTTGGGTGGTTTTGTTCCCACCCATTTTACATTGGCCAGCGTTTTGAGTGCTTGTGGTGGTTTGGGAGATATAGTGTGTGGTAAGCAGTGTCACTGTGTTGCTGCTAAGATCTGTCTTGACAAGAATTTGTATGTGGGAAATGCTTTGTTGAGCATGTATTCAAAGTGTGGTTGTGTTAAGGATGCGGTTGTGGCTTTTGGGGATTTGGCTGAACCTAATGAGGTTTCTTTTACGGCAATTATGGGCGGGTTAGCAGAGAGTGACCGAGTCGAGGAGGCTTTTAGCATGTTCACGTTGATGCATAGAAGTGGCATCTATATTGATTCTGTTTCGTTATCGAGTGTTTTGGGTGTGTGCACTAGAGGTGGGAATGGAGAATTTTGTGTTAATAGCCAGATGGATGAGTTTTTATGTAATGTGCATGGCCAACAAATACAAGGTCTCACTGTTAAACTTGGGTTTGAAAGTGATCTTCACTTGACTAATTCATTGCTTGACATGTATGCAAAATATGGAGATATGGACAGTGCTGAATTAATTTTTTCTAATTTGCCAGAAGTTAGTGTTGTTTCTTGGAATGTAATGATAGGTGGGTATGGCCAGAAATGTCAAACTGACAAAGCTATAGAGTACCTGCAAAGGATGCAGCTGCATGGTTTTGAACCAGATGAGGTCACTTACATCAATATGCTTGCAGCATGTGTCAAGTCTGGGGATCTTGAAACTGCTTGTCAAATATTTTATAGGATGGAGTGCCCGAACTTAAGTTCATGGAATGCTATTTTCTCCGGGTATACCCAGAATGGAAATCATGAGGAGGCAATTAAGCTTTTCAGTGAAATGCAGTTTCAAAATGTTCAACCTGATCGAACTACTTTGGCTGTTATCCTCAGCTCATGTGCTGCAATGGGACTTCTGGAGGGAGGAAAACAGGTCCATGCTGCCTCAATAAAGACTCTGTTTCATAATGATGTATACGTTGCTAGTGGACTTATTGGCCTGTACTCAAAGTGCAACAAGATAGAGGTGGCCATATGTATTTTTGATAGAGTGCCGGCATTGGATATTGCCTGTTGGAATTCCTTGATGGCAGGTTTGTCGCTAAATTCTTTGGACAAGGATGCTTTCACTTTCTTTAAGCAAATGCATGGAAAGGGGATGATCCCTACTCAATTCTCTTATGCTACTGTACTGAGTTGTTGTGCAAAACTTTCATCTTTGGCTCAAGGTAGGCAGGTTCATGCTCAGATAGTAAAAGGTGGTTATGTAAATGATGTCTTCGTGGGGAGTGCTCTGATTGATGTGTATTCTAAATGTGCTTATATAAATGGTGCCGTGCAGTTTTTTTATGAAATGCCTTGTAGGAATACTATTACCTGGAATGAGATGATACATGGATATGCACAGAATGGATGTGGTAATGAAGCTGTTTGTCTTTACAAGCACATGATTCAATCAGGTGAGAAACCTGATGAGATAACCTTTATTGCTGTTTTAACTGCTTGTAGCCATTCGGGTTTGGTTGATGCTGGGATTAGAATATTCAACTCAATGCAGGAAGAGTATGGAGTGGAGCCGCTTTTGGACCATTACACTTGCATTATAGACTCTTTGGGTCGTGCTGGTCGGTTCCATGAACTGGAAGCACTTTTAGAAAAGATGCCATGTAAAAATGATTCAATTGTATGGGAGGTTGTGCTTAGTTCATGTAGGGTTCGTGATAACGTAAACTTGGCAAGAAGAGCAGCAGATGAACTTGTCCGCTTGGACCAACAAAATTCTGCCCCTTATGTTCTTCTAGCCAATATGTATTCTTCTTCAGGAAGATGGGATGATGCAAAGGAGGTTAGAGAAATGATGATTGAAAAGAAAATCTTCAAAGATCCAGGTTATAGCTGGCTTGAACAAGAGAATAAAATGCAAACATTTTTGGTCGAATAATATTAGTTTCATCTGAGGAATTTGAAACAGAAAAAGATGGAACATCTTGCTTTAGTGGATGATATACAGTCTAGGCTATTTTTATAGATGTCAATGGTGTTTTTAAAGGAGAGTTCTCTTGTTCGTAATATGGCCACCTATATGGCAAGAATTCAGGCTTCTACAAAGACTTTTCATCTTTCCAGATTTTGACGGAACAGTATGAACCAGTTGTTTCAAACTACCTAACACAAGCAATGGGCAAGAGATGGATCCCGGCTATGAAAACTACACTTAAGGTTACAATTTAGAAGTCCTTTTCTGATCGGACCTATTTCAGGCCCACCTGTGAAGAATGTTACAGAAACATCAGCTTTGAGAGAGCCACATGTTTTCAGCCAACAAGAAAAAGTGGTGATAGAGCTGATTTGGTAAGGGAATGGGTGGGCCTGATTTTGGCGATGAATGCCTATCAGTTAATTTTATTTTCTTGAGAGGTGGAGCTGAGGGTAGGCCTCGACGCAAAGATATGTGGGTGTCAAGGGTTTGAGTTGCAGAAGCGGTCATTTCTTTGGTAAGGCCACATACATCTGACGCTCCCTAGATCTTGCAATAGCGACAGCCTCGTGAACTGGACCACTCTTTGTTTAGAGGTGGAGTTTGTTTCAGAGGGATAGCCACAGCATTTGGAAAACCCATTGATAAAATTCCAGATTGTCATAAATGGTATGCTATAGCATGCACCAGAATTGCATCAGAAGTGTGAGGGAATGCCATCGGAGAATTTTTTTCGATTTTCGATCTCTCCTTTAAGAGTTGTGGCATCTGTCTCCAATGTTGTTCCTGTTGCCATGCTTCCATCTGATGACCCTGTTCCATTAAGGTTTTTTTCTTAATTAAAGCAATGAGTTTCGAGGCATAAACACCTGCAATGTCCGAGTGAAGCATCTACTTAGACATTAACAAGATTGTCTGACTGAAGCAATGAGTTTCATCTCTCCTTTGGTCCATTTGGAAGTTGAAGCATGTACTACTTGGAAGAAGTTTATGGATCATACACTCCAATTGCTTGCAAGTGTGGAAGAATCTGCTCCTAAAATTGTTCAGTATCTTTGTTGTCGAGTGTGATACTCACAAATTCATCCAACTTCTGTGACATTCTTGATGAACAAAAGTATAAATTTTATATATGGTAGTTCATGGTTGTTCAATGTCTGAAGTTGACTTTCCCTTGCTTTTGTGATCACATAATTTCTGGAGATTCCTTTTGAACCGGATAGTTTTCTGATTTGTTCATCTTGCTCGTTTTACGTGTGAAACTGATTCTTCATTCTGAAAATGACGTCTGCTGCGTTCCCATAATAAATAAGTTTTATTTTGCGTCCCCATGGAGATCTTTATGGGGGATGTTTCTACATGATGCAGCACTGCTCTTACTATACAGTTCTACTACTCTCAATGTCACCCTTTTATTTATTACAGAGTGGAAGTCCGGATGATCAGGGCGGGTATTGCTATGGTGTGTTGTGTTTTGCTGTTTTAGTCGTAGTACCATACGGTCCACACCTCCATGCAGCTATAATTTGCTTTCTTGTGCCAGCTGTAAGGTGTATATTTCAGTGTATTTTGCTAAGTTAGTGACACTGAAGGTTGGTTATGAAGGTTTATAAACATTTGGTAAGACTACGGTACACGACAAGATAAGAGTAAGGTTACTATAAATCAAGGATGAGATAACGATGAATTTGATGAGTTTGTGATAAAATGACATTGTTTGGGATCGATCTTATAAAATCAATTTGACACAATTTTTTTGAGTTGTAAGTTCACTTTTTTTAGTTGTAACCTAACCCCAAATAAGGTGTAAGTTGTAACTCTCTAATAAACTTTATGAATTTCATTATGGTATCAAAGTTGATATCATCTATATAATAAAAGTAGTTAAATTGTTTGTCTTGAGCTTTTGGTGGCTCAGATCATTTTGATCTGATGTTCCTAATTGAACTTTCACTTTTATTACAAATCTAAGAGTCTCGTCTCTCATATAACTCTCTCTCTCACACTATTATCTCTTTTTTTGTTTGTCCTGTGTTTTTTGGTTATTATTTACTCTATAAAGATAATATTACGTGTTATACAATTATTTATTTCATGAAACTAATTCATAGCCTTTATATATATGACGACATATATTTTTTCATTTACTTCTTAATTTGTAAATAATACTTGACATAATAAAAAATATCACATTAACTATAAACACCAAATAGTATTCAACACGAAATGAACTTTAAATTGCAAATTAATAAATAGTTTTATCAAAAATTGACATTTAATATTGTCCAATTTATATTCAACTTTGTTTAATTAATATCAAATTAATTTTTATTGTTATCAAATTAATATTAAAATTTATTTAATCAATTTTTTGGGTACTAATTCAAATTTTATTTCATTTTATTAAATTTTTAATTTTTTTGGTACTAAATTTAGAGAAGTGCAATTGTAAAAATAATAAAAAATTTTAGGATGAAATTATCAATTTTTGTTAGTAATATTGACGGAAAGTGAGACATACGGGGTCTCATTGCAAGGAATTTCAAACCTCAGGGGGTCTCTATGTTGTTTATAAAATATCAAGTGGTGTTCGTCTAATATTACCAAAATTCAGGTGATGTCCGTAATTTTGATCATATATTTTAATTAAATGTTTTTATTTATTATTATTTTATCTTAAAAACTTGAATTATTGTATTTCTAATAAAACTAGTTATTAATTAGGAGGGTTTGTTAGTAACCAAAAAAGAAATATGAGTGAATTTGTTTCTGTGTATATTTATATGTGGAGGATTAGACATTTGGTGATTAAATTTATAATTATATTGTGTCATTTTTGGTTGAATGGTGATAGTGGTGATAAATTCACGAGTTTTATAAATAAGTAAGATTTGGTTGATTTTATTTATCGGTTAAAGATTGTAAATTTAATTGCGTTCTATTATTATTTTTTTTTGCTTGAGGTATTTATTACATGAGAATAAGGTAGATTGAAAATATAGTGGTTGAGTTTGTAATTATGTTGTGCTGTTGGATTGAGTAGTAGTAGATGTGATAAATTCGCGAGTCTTATAAATGAGGAAGATTTTATTTATTGCTTAAAGATTGTAAATTTCAATCGATTATGTTAGTATTTATTTTTTTTTTCAGAAGCATTTGTATATATGGTGTTATTTTGGAGAGTTTTTATATATTTTTATGATAGTTCCATTAATATGAAGGATATGATCGACGATATATTTCGAACCATTTTGAAAAAATAATTTGTATGAATATTTTTTAGGTCATTCTTTTTGAATTTGGATAATTGTTTTAAAATTTTTTTGTTTGTTGTATAGTGTATTTAGGTACGGGGCAATGACAATAGTTCAATATGGTCTCTAAAAAATGGGAAAAATGTCATAGATAACCCTCAAACTACATGCTTAGTTTCAAAACGCCCCCCCACAACTTTGAATCATCTAATTTTAGTCCTGAATTATCCAAAGCATACAGAGCCCTTTCATCCAATTCAGCCCTTAAAACTAATGGAGAAGTTAGCCAAATAATGGAAAAACTACATTTGGTAACCTCTTAAGTTATCTATTGTATTCCTTTAACCACTATTAGTTATAAAAATTTTAAAACTGTAGGAACTCACATCGAACCTGATTTCGCCTCTATTAACCTCGTATTGAGCTTAGGAAGATAAAGTTTCATATTAGAATTAATAATTTTACAAGAAAAACTATTCACCCAACTACAAAATAATTATAACTAAAAACAGATAGACATATTCAACTCGCTGTACTAGAAAGTGAGTTGAAACTATCGAAAGAAGAAAGTCTAGAATCCTAGAAAGCCAATTAGAAAGGCTTCAAGTAGGTAAGGATAAGAGTATCTCCAATGGAGGTTCAAAATCTTATTTAAATTTGAGTAAAAAAAAGGTAAAAAATTTATAGACCTCTCCAATGGTCAAACAATTTTTTAAATGAAAAGAAATTCAAATTTAAATGAAAAAAAATTTAAATTTAAAAGAGGATAAAATATGACCATTAGATCTTTAAAGGAGAATGTCATCTCACCATTAAAGATTTGGGTTAAAAATTAATCTCCCTTGATTTGGGTTTATAAAAGGATTTTTCTTTATTTGGTATGGATATAAGTCTAGCATTTGAGAAGATTTTTAAGATTTTTTTTTATCATTTTTTAAAAAAGGGTTTAAAAAAGGATAAGGATTGGAGATGGTCTAACATGACAATATTTAGGTGTAGTTATGAATTGCATTAGGTAGTACAAGTTAGCGGATAAAATATAAGATTAAACATAGAACAAAAATATTACGCATTGTATCAATATTTGGTAAAACACTAGATTAAAAAGTGGAATAATAGGGTAACAATTACATATTGACTAAAAAACATCAATCTTATCTNCGTGTCTTGTATGTAGTGTTATGTAAGAAATTTCAGTTATTATATATAAATATCGTTTTTTCAAAGAAATTTAAAAGTTTAACGTTGAATGGTTAAGGTGGTCAGAAATGCCCATTTGCGAACCATGCCCAAAAAACGACAAAGAAACCACTAGCATTGTTATCTATATAATAAAATAGTTCATATTTTGAATTTTATTCTAATCATATTTTTTCTCTTAAAATCATCACTAATCACTTACATCACCCATTATCTTTCTGTCAGACTTAAACGTCAAGTCACATAACTCATTTCTATCACATGTTTAATCATTTATATATTTTCTNGCTTTTGGTTTAATGGTACTCCTTACCTTGTGAAGGTTTTGCCTTATTGAGATCAAGGGTTTAAGTCTCTTTCCCCCTCCCCTCTCCACCACAAAAAAAATAAAAAAATAAAACAAATATTGTGACCAAACCACCCGTTAATGTATTATATTAAGTATAGGAGGTCGATGGTATAATTTATTTCCTAGAAAAGTAAAAAGATTGAAATTGAGACAATCTCGTTACAGACTCAAACTGAACCAAAACAAAGTTTAAAGACCAAGTTAAAATAAGCGAGATAAAGACAAATTATTTTTTTTACTCAAAAGAAATTATCTTAATTGGTCCCTCTAGCGATGCAACATGTCTTATGGTATGTGACGAGGCTAGATCCAGACTAGGTCTGCGTCCCGGTTTATGGGTTGAGTCTAAATCNGACGAATAAAGAGTGTGCCAAAAGTATTACCGGATGTGTTTCGTTGGATATCCCACATTTCAATAAATAATTTTGTCAAATTTTTGGAACAAATGACTTTCTTGGATGTCTACTTGTGGTTTTGGAACATGAGAACTAAACTATTTTACTTCACAAANGACAGAGAACAATTATTGGGATAGCCGTTACTCAAAGATAATGTCTATTCCCAAGTGTAACTATCCCTTCCAAATAAATTAGTAGTTGACCTTCACGTCACCGTCATAGCTAGAGCTCTTTACTTATAAATTGTAAACCTCCCCCATATATGGAGGCAGATCTCACACACTTCACTTTGAGCTTAGTCTCTCTCTCTCTCTGACTACCTTGTAGTCTCTAATTAATAAAAATTTTCGGTTACAATTGCCGCTTTCAGTGGTTAGGTCACATAGATCCAACCACCTAATATTTGTCTCTTATTATTGATTTGTCTTATTAATTGTTTTACACCATACACTCAACTGATTAGATTGTGCATAATTAAATTTGTGCATCATTAGTATGTTTGGTGGGGTGAATGAAAAAATGGAAGGATAAAAAATATAAGTAATACACTTTTTATGCTTCAAGGGAAAAATCATTTCTTCTCTCCTTTGTGTTTGGTAGGAGGGATAGAAAGTATGCAACATTGATTTTTTTTGTGTTTGGTAGGATGAAAAAAATATGGATACATATTTTATCATTATATATATATATATATATATATATATATATATATATATATATAAATTTAATAGATATATAATATGTAATAAATAAATATGATATATGCCTATATTAAAGGATATATAAGTAATAAAATACATTTCAACTAAGTTAATTAACTTTTCATCCACTTTTCCTCGTAATTTTGGAGGAATTAATTTTGGTGAGTTGAAAGAAAAGTTAATCCATCAACTTTTTCATCTTCCTATTTTCCTTTCTTACAAAATATGATATTTTATCTATCTTTCTAACTTTCTATCCCTCTAACTTTTTATTTTCTATTGTACCAAACAAAACTTATTTTGGGCTTTCGTCAGTTTTTGTGACAATTTTCATCCAAAATATTAGACCCCAAATATGTCTGAACCAACAATTAAACTCCCTAATTAGTCATAACGTTATTTTTATTTAAGATTTAAACATGTGGTAGCTGATATCACTATCAGTCAATTACTGAGGACGTGATAAAAAAAAAAAAGGTTACTGAGGACGCGATAAAAAAAAAGTTAGAGAGGAGTAATGGGGCCATAAACCTCACCACTAGTTTTTTTTTATATATAAATTTTAGCCGGTTCAGAAGCCTAACTAAGAATGTATATCTATTTTTCAGTTTCTTTTTAATTTTTTCCTCATAATAGCAAAGCGTACAGAAACAAATACTCCACTTTAAAATCAAGGACAAAGTCATATGTAGAACTGGCAAGCTCGAGGTTGGAGTTGATCCAATAAGTGCTCACTAATATAAATAATACTTAATAATAATAATATGTGCATCATCTTTGTATCTCACCTTATCTATACTAACTAATGTGACACGATCTTAACTTTTAAATATCTAATGAATTCAATGGAACTCACTAATTTAATGATTCATATTGAGGTAGTACACAAAAATGGTGCAGAAAGGTGATGTGTGTAACATTATTGAATATGTATGTAATGAGCTCGAATTCGGAAATTAATTCCCTAATAAAATGATGATAGGACTGCCAGCTACTTGCTCACTATAGGCAAGTATATAGCGTGTGCGACCTTGAACCATTTTGGTTGTCATTCTCTTTCACAATGACAATAATTAAAATCTAATAAACAAAGTTGATGCTTTGTGGACGATGCAAATTCTGCTCAATTTATCCAAATTCTGTGAGGGGTTACTCAAATGATTAAACTATGGAGGCATATTTTATGAATCTTAAAAATGTAAAACGAGAGAATGGGAACCTGCCGGGTCCGGGACTGTATCCTGGCCCGTAGCTAGCTCGGGATGGGTCATTGGCAGCATGGGCTGGCTAGCTTGTGAGCTGCTGCTACTTCTTATTCGTCCAATATTGGATGTGTTAATTGTCTGTTGTGCAAATCAACAAGAGGTAATTTATTATTTAAACCCTTAAAATATGCGAATAATTTTGATTTGGTCTTTAAATTTTTAATTTAAACAATTACATTCTTACAATTTTAAACGAGTTTCTATCTAATCTTTTCATCTAGATCTATTATTTATTCTGATAGAAGAATGGAACTTTCATCTAATAGTACTCTTTAACTTGTGAAAATTTTGTCTTCTTGAAGTTAAAGGTTTAAGTCCCCCTTTTTCAAAAAAAAAATNACTAACTAATGTGACACGATCTTAACTTTTAAATATCTAATGAATTCAATGGAACTCACTAATTTAATGATTCATATTGAGGTAGTACACAAAAATGGTGCAGAAAGGTGATGTGTGTAACATTATTGAATATGTATGTAATGAGCTCGAATTCGGAAATTAATTCCCTAATAAAATGATGATAGGACTGCCAGCTACTTGCTCACTATAGGCAAGTATATAGCGTGTGCGACCTTGAACCATTTTGGTTGTCATTCTCTTTCACAATGACAATAATTAAAATCTAATAAACAAAGTTGATGCTTTGTGGACGATGCAAATTCTGCTCAATTTATCCAAATTCTGTGAGGGGTTACTCAAATGATTAAACTATGGAGGCATATTTTATGAATCTTAAAAATGTAAAACGAGAGAATGGGAACCTGCCGGGTCCGGGACTGTATCCTGGCCCGTAGCTAGCTCGGGATGGGTCATTGGCAGCATGGGCTGGCTAGCTTGTGAGCTGCTGCTACTTCTTATTCGTCCAATATTGGATGTGTTAATTGTCTGTTGTGCAAATCAACAAGAGGTAATTTATTATTTAAACCCTTAAAATATGCGAATAATTTTGATTTGGTCTTTAAATTTTTAATTTAAACAATTACATTCTTACAATTTTAAACGAGTTTCTATCTAATCTTTTCATCTAGATCTATTATTTATTCTGATAGAAGAATGGAACTTTCATCTAATAGTACTCTTTGACTTGTGAAAATTTTGTCTTCTTGAAGTTAAAGGTTTAAGTCCCCCTTTTTCAAAAAAAAAAAATATTAAAAAAAAAATAGGACTTGCCCATAATGGTATATTTATTCAACAAAAAATATATCTCTCAAATACATTGGTATTTCTCTCTGTCTCACAGTATCAAATTCTCACTTTGTATTTTATTTTTCAAGTTTTTTTTTATTTTTTTTTCTCCAAATTAGATAAAATAAAGTAAGATTTCATAGCTCATACGAAAAATATTTTTCACCAGACATATACCTTTAACCCAAGTGATGTGTTAATCATGGAGGGGCATTTTATCATAATAAATTGGGGCGAGTTTAATGTAATGACTAAATTAAAACACAATTAAATTTCAACGGGCTTGATTTTTGCAATTGGAACTTTAAGGAGAAAGCAGGAATTAATATATCACATTTACTGATAAGTTATATTAATTCAATACACAATTACTATTGAATTGACATTGAACACGATCCAATATCAACGCTAATCCAACAGAAAATTGGGTCTATAAAGTATGCAGACTTATTTTTTGGACAAATATAAAGTATGTAGATGAATTAGGACAAATGTATGCTTCTCATCAGCTATAACCCGACAACTATACACCTTAAAAAAAGAGTGACTCTATGCACACCAAATTTGTGTATCAAAAGTGGGCATTAATTTGGTGCGTACTTTTAGTACACAAATTTGGTGCATATATAATTATCCTTTAAATAAAATAACATGCCACAAACACCTAAGAGTATCTCCAGCAATAAAAGTTAGTTTCGCTACTCAAAAAACAACATTTTTTATTTTAGCTACTCAAATTTTCAATACACAATCCAATAAATTTTTTATATTTTTAACTATTTCCTTTAAATATTATTTCTCATTCTTTTTGCATTATTTTTCTTTGAGAATAGTTAAAGGGAGAAAGAGAGAAAAGGAGGAAAAGAAAAGAGGAGAGAAAAAATATTATAAATTATTTATACATGTTGTTACAGTGATACTCTAAATATAGAGTATCACTATAACAAAATGTTATTTTAGAGTATCTAAAAGAGAATGAATAAAACTTTTAAAAAACTAAAATTTAGTTATTTAAAAATAAAAACCATGTTCCAACAAAAGATGTCAAGATTAAGTAAAATATAATTTTGTTCTAGTTTTGCTCTAAATATAGAGTGTCATTATAATATTATTTATAAATAATTTATAATATATTCTTTCTCCTCTTATCATTTTTCACATTTTTTGTCCGCTCTTTATTTTTTTCCTCTATTCTTTTCTTTCTCTCTCTCCAACATCTATAATAAAGGTACAATTATGAGAAATAATATTTAAAAGAAGCAATTAAAATATAAAAAATTTATTGGAGTATATATTAAAAAAGTAACTAGTTAAAATAAAAAAATTATACTTTTATATAGTTAAAATGTAAAACCTTATTAAATATATTCTTAGATGCTTTGGAGATATTCGTATGGAATGAAAGTTTGGAGTAAAATAGCTATTTTAAAATTTTTATGTACTTTAGTGTCTCTCTTCAAAATGCTCTAATTATAGCTTTTGCAACTCCCAAAAATTTCTTTCTCCCAGACACCTATCACATCTAAGAAAACCAGGCTTCATGTGCAAACAACATTTCCCTTTGTGTCATCGAACCCATCGAAATTATCTGCAGACTTTATCTATCCAATCTCATTGGGAAGCCCAATTTTCTCACTCTCCAATGGCCTCATGACCTAATCCTTCCCTATATAAACCCAACCAACCTCCACCATTTAACACCCACCATATTGTTTCCAAAGAGCAAAGCACAAGAAAGAAGTTTTTTGAGTTAGTTAATACCGTTCCTTTGACATTCAACCATGAAGAACCTTTTCTTTTCCATGGTTTTTCTCCTTTCCTTCCTATTCTTCCTCGCTCATGTAAGCGAGGCGGCCATAACATGTGGTACAGTTGACGTGAAGGCTGCCTCGTGTGTCACATTTGCCACCGGCAAGGACACAAAGCCATCTGCAGCCTGCTGCAGCGGGCTCCAGCAGCTGACTCAAAGCGTGAAGTCTGTCGACGATAAAAAGACAATCTGCCGTTGCCTGAAGGCTGGTGTTCAGAAATTTAATGGTGTACAAGACAAGTTCTTGAGCAAAATCCCTGATGCTTGCAAGATCAAAGTCACATTCCCTGTCTCATTGAGCATCAACTGTGAAACGTAAGCAATATTTCATCAGTAATATATCACCTGAATCACGTTTTGAATCAAGGATCAAAATTTTGNTTTTTGTCCGCTCTTTATTTTTTTCCTCTATTCTTTTCTTTCTCTCTCTCCAACATCTATAATAAAGGTACAATTATGAGAAATAATATTTAAAAGAAGCAATTAAAATATAAAAAATTTATTGGAGTATATATTAAAAAAGTAACTAGTTAAAATAAAAAAATTATACTTTTATATAGTTAAAATGTAAAACCTTATTAAATATATTCTTAGATGCTTTGGAGATATTCGTATGGAATGAAAGTTTGGAGTAAAATAGCTATTTTAAAATTTTTATGTACTTTAGTTACTCTCTTCAAAATGCTCTAATTATAGCTTTTGCAACTCCCAAAAATTTCTTTCTCCCAGACACCTATCACATCTAAGAAAACCAGGCTTCATGTGCAAACAACATTTCCCTTTGTGTCATCGAACCCATCGAAATTATCTGCAGACTTTATCTATCCAATCTCATTGGGAAGCCCAATTTTCTCACACTCCAATGGCCTCATGACCTAATCCTTCCCTATATAAACCCAACCAACCTCCACCATTTAACACCCACCATATTGTTTCCAAAGAGCAAAGCACAAGAAAGAAGTTTTTTGAGTTAGTTAATACCGTTCCTTTGACATTCAACCATGAAGAACCTTTTCTTTTCCATGGTTTTTCTCCTTTCCTTCCTATTCTTCCTTGCTCATGTAAGCGAGGCGGCCATAACATGTGGTACAGTTGACGTGAAGGCTGCCTCGTGTGTCACATTTGCCACCGGCAAGGACACAAAGCCATCTGCAGCCTGCTGCAGCGGGCTCCAGCAGCTGACTCAAAGCGTGAAGTCTGTCGACGATAAAAAGACAATCTGCCGTTGCCTGAAGGCTGGTGTTCAGAAATTTAATGGTGTACAAGACAAGTTCTTGAGCAAAATCCCTGATGCTTGCAAGATCAAAGTCACATTCCCTGTCTCATTGAGCATCAACTGTGAAACGTAAGCAATATTTCATCAGTAATATATCACCTGAATCACGTTTTGAATCAAGGATCAAAATTTTGCCATTTCAGTTAGTCCAAAAATCTAAATTTTTTATCACTCATTCGTTTTAATTTCCACCAAACTGANCAATATATCACCTGAATCACGTTTTGAATCAAGGATCAAAATTTTGTCATTTCAATTAGTCCAAAAATCTAAATTTTTTATCACTCATTCGTTTTAATTTCCACCAAACTGAACACGTTTATAATTGTTGTTTCGGTGAAAACGAAATAAAATTGCTCTTTATTATAAATATACGCAAATGACCCTAGATTGATTTTTGATTTGCAGGATCCGCTGAACTAGCATGGAGTTGCTTCAGTGATTGGGAGAAAAGAGTCATCTGGTAGACTGTAGGGAGGAATTGAATAAAACGATAAGGCAGTAGTCTGTTGGGTTTATGCAATACCCAACTCTGGGCCTTAGTTATGTAATCTTCATTTGGTATTTAATGAATCAGTATTTGGGTTTACATGCATTTTCACTTATCTTCATTTACCCTGAAAGAATCAATGCGCTTCAAATAAATTAAGAAGTCACTACAAAAATTATGAAAAAATTTGGCATTTAATTTCAGGCATTTAACCTAAGCGCCACTAAAACCGGCGTTTGTTTATAAACACCACAAATTATTAATAAAAATAAAACCTTTTTTTTTGAGCTTAATTTTCGTCCTCTAACATTCACTCTCTGGACCGGCCGTTTGGCGACCTTTCTTGCTTTCACTCTCTCTCAGGCGACGACTCCTCGTCGGCTCTGTCTCAGGCGACAATTCCTTGTCGTCACTCTCTTAGGTAACTCCTCGTCGTCCTTATCTCCGGCAATTCCTCGACGGCACTCTATCCGGCGACTCCTCGTTGTCCCTCTCGCAGATGCCTTCTCGTCGGCTCTCTCTCAGGTTCGTCTCTGATCTGTAAGTACCTTTACACATGCTTTGGTCTGTAAATAGATCTACCTAAACTATCATGGCCTCAAGGACTAAGAATAGATCTACGTGGTCCATCACACATGAATTACTACAGAGTGAAGTGGCTGTTGTATTTTTATAAATATCATAGAATTAATGATTTCTTAGTGTGGAATAAAGAGACTGGTGAGCCACATCCTTCCATATAGAAAATTTTTGCATAGAATTTCTGTGTGCACGACATAATTAGTTAACTCAANGTGCTCAATAAAGTATGGTTTTGTTGGTCCGATATTGTGTATCTTTCGAGAAGTACCTTTTGTATCTTTACTTTCTCTTTATCTCCATCTCAGGAATTGATTAGAAAAGNAATAATCATGGTTCAAAGTAGCGGTATCGGCCATGAACTCGGAGGGTACTGATACACATCNTATCTTTACTTTCTCTTTATCTCCATCTCAGGAATTGATTAGAAAAGTTAAAAATTGGAAACAAATAGTACATCAGTTTGCTTTTTTCAGTCATTGGACATGGTGTTCGAGTGGTGCATCATATAATGTTTTTGTAGGACATAAGTGCTTTAAGACATTTGGGAATCACCACATGCTCTAAAACTTTTTGTGATGTGGTAGACCATCCTTAGTCAAAGACTCAGAAAATAAGTGACTTTGTGTTGAAGCATCTAGTGAAAAACATGTTTTCTAGAACACTCATCACCATGATTCTTCCACTGTCTACAGTGGCTGACATGTGTGGTTGTTTTTGTTTTAGGTTAGCTTATATTGCTGTTGGTATATATTCGTTTGAAAAGAGGAAGGTAAGCTCAGAATAGGCTTATAAAAGCAGTACAATTTGCAAAGAATCAATTGCACTTTTACTTCTTTGAATTTTGTACCATCCTTACCGTATGTTTCTTTGTAACGTGATTTTTAATTTTATCTCTATTCATTGTTTATATTATAGTTTAGTTTAAACTCACGTTTTTTAATGTTAAACTTTACTATTAAATTCCATTGTTTTGCTATCTTGTAATTTACATGTCTTTTGTGTGTTTTAACTCGNAGATGACTTTGGTTTTAACCTAGTCAATTTTAGAAATTTGCTTTACACCAAGGGATTGATATCTGATGAACCATTCATCCTAGCATCTCAAGCACAACAAGTCTTCTATGAATGGACAACAACCAGGAGAAGATGCTAGGATGTAGCATAACCAGTTAGAAGAATATGAGCAACAAGATTTAGATGAAATTGCTATCCATCATGACGACAAGGACATGGTCTGGGTTAGACAAGGTGTTGTTGAAACCACAGTTCATGGTTATGATGATGAATGATAAATGAATTATTTTTTATTTTAATATCGTGAGACTTTATACATTTAATTGTTTTGGATTTTCATTGCAATGTAAAATGTCGAGCTATATTTTAATATCATGAAAGTGCTTAGTGTTTATATCTTGATGACACACTTCCAAACTCTTGTATATCCATAAATGGTTCATAGTTTGCTATGGTGGAAAATGTGCACATGATTCCAGAACCACCATCATGGTGACACCCTACTTCTATCCTCCCAAGTACATTATTTGGTTGTAGATTATGTTTTGCTTACAATTAGATATTATGCATACAATTATATGTTTAGTAATTTAAGTATCTATAATTCAGGTTTTAATACCAACCATCCATCTTGTGGCCAATCACTAGACGATGCTGGCAATACATCATACAACGACGACGGTATATTTTAGTAATGGAGGAATAGATAGTAATAATTATTACTAAACATGATATTGTGATCACTCAACAATTTTTTTTTAAGTGTAGGTTCCAATTCCTCGGATTCTATATAGAGACGATCTAGAGGTCCTACCTCGGCTTATGGCGGCAGTGTGCTACACATTGAGAAAAATGAATTAAAGCAATCAATTGGTGAAAAAGCTTGGCATGCTAGCTCGATATGGGACCATGACACTCTTAAATTGGCACGAGTGGCGTGTTGTTCCCAAGGAGTATAAAGAAATAATATGGGATGAAATAAAGGTGGAAAGTTTTTGAATTTATTTTATAGTTACTAAGTGATTATATATAGCTTTTGCATGTTATTAGTGGTTTTTGAATGGAATTGTTGGTAAGCACTGATGCAAAAAAGTGTATGAAAGGATATCTAATGAAGTCTATAGGGAGGAAGTGGAAAGATTGGAAGTGTGAGATTAAGAAACAAGCTTATTATCCCTATAGAACTAATGTAGAAATATTAGTTCACAAGCTTGACCGAGTGGAGGAATCACATTGGCGGGCTTTGGTCTATTATTGGAACACTCCGAAGGCATAGGTACAAATATGTAAGTGTAAATCTTGTAAATTCTAAAAGAAGTCATTGCTCTTTTTCTTCAAATTTTTATGATAATTGCTTTTGACATATAATAGGAAAAAGTAAGAGGAACAAACTCATTTGGAGCAAGAAAAAATTTCATCATACCACTGGCCGAAACTTTGCATGTGCTATGGAAAGGATTTGTTAGAAAATAAATGTGTCTTTTAAAAAAAGTTTATTCAAGTTTATTTATTGTGTCTTTTTTAACTGTAGGAAAACAAAAAGAATAATGGGAAGAAAATGAGTCGTATTAAATTTTTTAAGGTTGCATATTCAAAGAAAGATGGTCGACTAGTTAATGATGTTGTTGCACAAGCCTTGGTATGTAATATTGGCAAGAAAGATGTTCACTATTTATCCATTCTTATTTCGTCTTTGTTTCATATTTATTTAAAATTATTTTTTGCTGCAGTCAGACATGGATGAACTTCCATCACAAATGTCAGATGAAGTTTTCACTCAAGTCATGGGACCAGAGCGACCAGGATGTGTTAGAACATATGGTTTTGGACCATCTCCGAGATATGTGTTTGGACGTAAAAAATCAGAAGAGATGCAAGCAATGCAGTCCCAACTAGATGAGGAATTGAGTAGACATAAGGCAGAGCGTTAGAGATGGAGGCTCAGCAGACACAAATGAAGAAGCAAATGAATCAGATGGAAGCTAAGTTTGAGGCTCAACAAAGACAGTTTAAGGTTTTTATCGTTCAAATGCGTGCAATGGGTATGCCTATTCCCGAACCAGCTCACAAAAATACAGATCCACTTTAGGTTGAAAAGGTAATAACAACTTNCGTTCAAATGCGTGCAATGGGTATGCCTATTCTCAAACTAGCTCGCAAAAACACAAATCCACTTCAGGTAGAAAAGGTAATAAAAACTTCAACGACTTATATTTAGAGTTATTGTATTATTGTATTATTTTTCTCCATGAATATTAAGTATTTGCAATCTTAAAAGGTACCTGATGCATCTAGTACTCATAATATAAACTCTTACTGATCATCGATGAGGAATAAGTTAAGAAGTCTGGCAGTGCCAGACAGAGTTTCGAGGTCTTNTAAATTCCATTGTTTTGCTATCTTGTAATTTACATGTCTTTTGTGTGTTTTAACTCGTTTTTTGCTCTGTGATTTTCTGCATTTTGGTTAGATTTCTTGTCCAACCATTTTTTTTATCCAGATTTCAATTTTACTAATAAAAGAGTTACACGTCCTATATAAAAAGGGGTGTCTTACAAATATACTTTTCCTTTAAAAAATATACCCGATATGTCATGAATTTGATTGTACTTAATTATTCAAAAATACGGTCTAGGATAATCGAGTTTCCAACTCTCTTTTTTCCTTGTTTAGATTTCTTGGCCAATCACTAGAAGATGATGGCAATAAATCACGCNATACAAATATGTTCATTTTATTGTTTTATGAATGTTGGGTTCATTGACAAAAGAGAGAGAAATTGCAACATGTTAATGACAATGCAGTGAAATTCTCACCCAAGTGACTCTCCCTCTTCTATACCATGGATCTGCCCATAGTTGGTAAATAGGCGATTGTGGCTGCTCTAGGAAATTCGAAAGATTACACATTGAAGCAGTATGTTGTGTTTATGGATAAGTTGCAAGCAAAAGCGAAGGTTGGCTAATCTTCTTCTCTCTGCTTCAATAAGTTCCTACTATTTAGATGGTAAAATAGTGAATAAGAGTGACTTTGATGCTTATAAGCCTCTTATTTCTGGTGAACTTGGCGTGCTATGCTATAATTTGATAGAACTATTAGGAATTAGGGTCCTCCTTGGAATATTTATATAGTAAATATGTGATTACTTGTGAATACCAAGATTTTGATTGCCCTAATTATGTATTTGTTCTCTTAATGCATGATATCATGAGCAAGCAAAATTGTGTCTTTGGCGCCAAAAACAAGACTTGATCCAAAATGTATACACTTAAGTGCAGGCGGTCAAGTTGTAGTAATAATCCGGTTAAATTCAGAGTCGAATCCATAAGGAACTATTGTTGATGTTTTGAAGTAAGTAGTGACAGAGACCAAAGTGACTGGAACCCTTGAGATTTAAAGTGATGATCTTTATGGATTTTTCCTAGATAGAATATAGGATTCTTTCCAAGAGGATTTTCTAGACAAAATATAAGATTCTCTCAAATGTAAAAGTCACCCTTTAGCTCCAGGATTTGGACATGTAGCAAATCATTCGATTGTTATACTTGTGTTTGGTAACTCAATTAACTCACGTGTCAATGTAAAGTTAATCGAAAGATAAAAATGGATTTTGAGAATTAAGAGCATGATTTCGATATCTTTGTAGAGGTTTACAAGAATTGTCAGTGCCGAGACTCAACCCATCTACAAACCAGCAAATGTCACTACAAGGCATCCAACCATTGCGTTGGTATTCCATTCTTTAAATGAAGCACAATAATGGTGAATATTGAAATGTAGTCATGAAGATCTAGTCGGGGTACTTGCCTAGAACTAATGTGTCTTTCTATGCAAGAGTCATCTATGTCATAGAAAGCATCCACGGTTGTGCAAAGTACCTTAGCTTTGCTAGATGCATCCAATTATTCAATAAGCAAGTGAAATATAAAACATTAAAGCATAAAAACTGCACAAATATAACTTCTGAACGATTTATACATGTCCATCACTTCTTACTAAAGAGTGAACGAGGAACTACTCACTCTTCATGGCTTTGGTACATTTAGAAAAGTGAGTGATGTTCATCCCTCCTAGTAGAGGAGTTACAAAATAAAATACACTAAACAAGGAGCCGATCTTCGACGAAGAATGGGGGAATCACGTTCCATCCTTCACGACTTTGGTAAAGCTCTAAAAAAGCAGAAGAGTTTCACTCCTCTAAGTGAAGAAGGAAGCTCAAATAATAGAAGTAAAAGAAAGCAATAATACAGTAAAAAAAAGCAATACTAAAGTAAAAGAAAGCAATAAATTAAAAGAAAGAAATAATAAAGTAAAAGACAGCAATAATAAAGTAAAAGAAAACAATAATACAGTAAAAGAAAGATAGTAACTTTTGGAGGATTTTTCANGAAAAAGGAAGGTCAAATAATAGAAGTAAAAGAAAGCAATAATAAAGTAAAAGAAAACAATAATACAGTAAAAGAAAGATAGTAACTTTTGGAGGATTTTTCACAACCAAAAGATGATTTTTTAAAAGCCCAAGGGGTGGTATTTATAGGCAACAAGGGAGGGTAAAAAGTCTTGTTAGGAGGTTTGAATTATACTTTGATCCCCTTTTGTTTTGAGCTTTGACAGTTGGCTCCCTTATAGTTTGTAGCTTTGATAGTTGACACCTCTTTAGTTTGTAGCTTTGATAGTTGGCTCCCCTGTAGTTTGTATCTTTGACGCAGAGGATTTTCTAGACAAAATATAAGATTCTCTCAAATGTAAAAGTCACCCTTTAGCTCGAGGATCTGGACATGTAGTTAATCATCTGGTTGTTATACTTGTGCTTGGTAACTCAATTAACCTCTGTGTCAACATGAAGTTAATTGGAAGATAAAGATGGATTGTGAGAATTAAGAGCATGATTTCGATTTCTTTGTAGAAGTTTAGAAGAATTGTCTGTATCGATACTCAACCTGTCTACGAACAAGCAAGTGTCTCCATAAGGCATTCAACCATTTTGTTGGTATTCCATTCTTTAAATGAAGCACAATAGTGGTGAAGATTGAAATGTAGTCATGAAGATCTAGCCGGGTTAATTGTCTAGAACCAATGGGTCTTTCTATGCAAGAGTCATCTATGTCATAGAAAGCACCCACGGTTGTGCAAAGTACCTTAGTTTTGCTAGATGCATCCAATCATTCAATAAGCAGGTGAAATATAAAACATTAAGTATAAACAAACTGCACAAATATAACATCCGAACGATTTATATATGTCCATCACTTCTTACAAAAGAGTGAATGAGGAACTACTCACTCTTCATGATTTTGGTAAAGCTAAAAAAGTGAGTGATGTTCATCCCTCCAAGTAGAGGAATTACAAAATAAAATACACTAAACAAGGAGCCAATCTTTGATGAAGAATGAGTGAATCATGTTCCACCCTTTACAGTTTTGGTAAAGATCTAGAAAAGTGAAAGAGTTTCACTCCTCTAAGGGAAGAAGGAAGCTCAAACAATTGAAGTAAAAGAAAGCAACAAACTAGAACTATAGATCACACCCCCCAACCTAAATTGAACATTGTCCTAAAGGTTTCGAATTTACTTATAACCACAAAATAGAGTTAGGGTTTGAGAAGTAGAGATCTGTTCATCTACCCAAACCTACAAAGAAAATACACAATTTAATCATCATTTTTCAAATAAGGGTTTTGGTTAGGCTGAAAACCCTTCTCTGTAAGTGCATATAGAAGAAAAAGACCCATGTGCAAATACAGACATAAAATGAAAATCATGAAACAAAGGACCGAGTCCATGGAGTTATAAAGAGTGAATTGATGTGGAGAGAACAAAGAAGAAAACGAAGAAGAAGAAGAAGAAGAAGAAGAAGAAGAAGAAGAAGAAGAAGAAAAAGAAGAGAAAGAAAAAAGAGAAAAAGGGGATAGGGACAGCGGTGGATGGGAAAAAGAGAAAAAGGGGTGGAGGCCTTATAAAGGCGTCCCAGCGGGTCGGGTTGGGTTGGATATTTCGTGACCAAACCCTTTTTTCTGTCGGTAGGCATGAATCTCAGAGGAATTTTTTGGATCCATTAAAAGAATGGTTTTCACATCTTTAACAAAGTCTTCCAAAAATGGTTTCAACCGTTGACCATTGACAGTGAAGATATTATCGTTCGATGGGTTTTCCACTTCTACTGCTCCATGTCCAAATACTTTTTTGATGATGTAAGGCCTGGTCCACTTTGACCTCAACTTACCAGGAAATAGGCGGAGTCTTGAATTAAACAATAGGACTTTTTGGGAAGGGGCAAAGGATTTTCTTACTATGTTTTTGTCATGAAAGATTTCATCATTTCCTTTGCAATTTTTGCATTGTCATATGCCTCATTTCTCAATTCCTTCAATTCGTTAATCTGAGGTTTTTTGCTAGTCCAGCCTTGTCCAGGTCAAAGTTCATTGTTTTAATGGCCCAATATGTTCTATGTTCCAGTTCCATAGGTAGGTGGCTTGTCATAGACTAATCGATAAGGAGACATGTCCAAAATTGTTTAAAAGTAGTACGATATGCCTAGAGTGCATCAGTTAGTCTTGACAACCAATCTTTGCAGTCTGGGTTTACCTTTTTTTCTAAAATTAGTTTGATCTCTCGATTAGCTAATTAAGTCTGTCAACTAGTCTATGGATGATAAGAGGTTGCAATTTTGTGAAAAATCAAGTATGTATTCATCAAATTCCAAAAAGGACGATTGCAAAAATGAGCACCCTCATCACTTATGTTGGATTTTGAAATTTCAAATCGGGACAAAATATTTTCTTTTAAAAATTTGATCACTGTTTGGTGATCACTATTCCGGCATGGAATTGCTTCAAACCATTTGGACACATAGTCTACAGCCACTAAAATGTATAGATAGCCAAAGTAGGGGAAAATGGTCTCATAAAATTGATGCCCCAATAGTCAAAAATT